AGGAGTGCTTGAGCCTCTTACAGGTCCTCGGGATGGCAGCTAGGAGTGGGGAGATGTCACTGGGGTGTCTGGAGTTGGCTGAGCCTCTCCATTAAATCGGCCCTTTGATGACGATGGCGCATGCTCCCTGTCGCCGTTTTAAGCTCTCCCTTCAGCGCTGCTTTTTATGCTCCAGATCAAGCACGGGGTCACACTCTGCCTTTATTGCTGCACATGGGTAGAGAGCAAACAGTTTTCTTCCTAGCCTCTTTCCATGCCTTACACTTCTATTGCTAATTCTTGGGATTTGGGAAAAGGCTGGAAAGACTGTCCAGCGCCTCAGGAGAAGTTTGTCTGTAGCATCTCCATATTCCTGCAGATGCAGGACAGAGTGGAGGGAACAGGGCCTGGAGCACCTGGGAGTGAGGTTTGCCCAGTGGGGATCCCTCCTGGTGCCCAAAGGAATTGCCTCTTCTTTTGTTAAGGTGTGTTTATCTCTTTCCTCCATGAGAAAGTGTCAGAGACAGGCATCCCCAACCAGGTCTTCATGCCATGACCCTCCCCAGCCTCAGCCCGCCAGGATCACAGGCATGTGCAGACTCCCTGTGTGCACAGGGGACCTCGGGATGCAGACCCAGATCTTCCCACGTGGCTTCAGCTTCACCGCAGCGTCACTGCGAGTGGCCCAGAAACTGCTGAAGGCGGAGGACCAGGTCTGGGAGAGGAACCGGGGGTGGAGAAAGAACAGGGTGTGGGGAATGCATGGCAGTGCCTGGGTCACCCTGACACCTGCCAGAGCTGAGCAGGAGGACCAGTGAGCAGCTGCAGCCAGCATCTGATACCCCCAGCCACAGCACCCCCTCTCAGAGTTCTCTGCACCAGGATGGGGGGCTGGGACTCCAGGGAGGCTGGAGTTGCCCACCTTCCAGGAGGGCTCTGCGTCCGTGTTCCCCGGCCGTCCCATCTCGGAGGCTGGCTTACTTCTGCACTCCAGCACACACTGGTGTAGGTCTGTTTTTCTACTAGCTCACATCCGAGGAGCACCGAACCAATGCCCGACATCACTGGGGTGGAGCGCCCGGCCCGTGCTCGGCTCACATGGGTGTTCCTGTGTTGTTAGTTCCAATAGAGTCAGTCTTTTCTGATGGCTCTGTTGTTCTGAACACATGGAGGCGTCTTGTTTATTAAGGTGGAGAAAGCTAGTGAATTTTTGAACTCTTCTATGAATATATCAGTGACACATACAGAAAAGTGCATGTAGAAGAAGAGAATGGCTTGATGTGTTTCCACACACAGAACACAGTACCCCCGTCAGGGAATGGACCGTGACGGGCACACCCTCTGTCCTCCCACGGCCTCCCACCCGTCTCCCCGACCCCACAGGGGCCTGCTATTATGACTCTTGGCAACACAGACTCACGTTTTTGTTTTTGTTTGTTTGTTTGGTTTTGAATTATTATATTTTATTATCATTTTACAATTTGCTATAGGCACATGTGCTCACCAGGGAGAGACAGCTCTCCCTCGGGGGACACTTGTTCTGACTAAGTGCACTTGTGATTTGCCCCTACACCTTCACACATGGCCTCTCCGTGCCCTGTAAACCACCCCCCCCCAATTCTGCCCAGGAAGCTATGGCAGAGAGCGAGAGAGAGCGAGAGAGTGAGGAGAGAGAGTGAGAGTGAGAGCAAGAGAGAGAGAGGGAAAGTGAGAAAGCAAGCCACCAGATCCAGGTCTGGAACTGTAGTCAGGCATGTGGGAGTCCAACACCTTAACCACCGCGCCACCTGTTGGCCTGACTTAGATTCACTTTTGCAGGCTGGAGTTTGTCCGCTCACAGGACAACCTGACTTACGGTCATCCTCCAGTTCAGAGCAGGGGAAGCTGCCTGAACTCAACAAGGCCGATCTGGAGCTGATTTCCAGTGGATTGGGTGGGGGTCACTTCGGGGGTTCACATCCCCGTCCTCTCTCTTGGAGTCTTAGCAACTCTAAAGCCAGCAGATATCCAGCTGCTGCTTCAGCCCCTGGAGGGAGGGCGGTGGGTGGGCAGAGGGGTAGGGCTGGCCCCTTCTTGGCTGTCAGATGGTCCTCCTTGCCCAGGGGGCCCTCAGTGAGGTCAGCATGTGACTCAGAGCTGCGGGAAGGGGCAGACTTTGCATGTCCTTCTAGAAGTCCTACCATGTGCATCAGACAGCAGGAGGCCCGGGAGCAGGATGACTCAGCAGTGTCTACGTGCAGAGAAACCCAACTCCGCTCCCTGGGAAACCAGCACATGCCATGTGTGTACTTGTCCCACGCAGGGTGGCCCCGTGGACGCTTGTTTTCACCTGGCCCCTGAGCTGGGCCCTCTATTTACCTGCTCGACTCTGAGCACAGGTGCTAGCTACTGGCCTGGACCCGTCTGCCTCCCTAACTGCCCTCTGTCCTCCCTCCGTCCCCGCTGAGAGCTGACTGTCCATCACGTGTGTCCATGTCACTAATAAAAACCAGATTTGCCTTTGTGCTTACCCCGTGCACTTCTGTGCATCTTTAGACTCTGCCCTCTGCTTCCTCAGCAGAGAGCTGCTCCAGTTGTGCAGGTCGGGGCCAGATGGCCAGCCCAAGTGTGGGCAGGACGAGCTCTTCTGGACCCGGCGATCCAGCTGCAGGGAGGAGCCCTCCCTTGGAGAACATGTGTCCTGACTAAGTGCAGTTACGATTTTCCCCTGTACCTCCACACATTGACTCTCCGTGCCCTGTAACCCCCGGCCCCCCATTCTGCACAGGGGACTACGGCAGAGGCAGGGAGCCCTGAGTGACTCAGTTTGCTTCTGCTGTTCCGGCAAGGCCAGTACACTGGGCTAGAAAGGTCTCGGGGACCACCAGGTCGGCAGGCCTCTAACGGAGTGTGCATAGGAATCACTTGGAAAGTGCATTAAAAATACAGGGTTTTCAGGCTTCCTGTCTCCCCCACGTCCAGGCTGAGACCCCAAAACCTGTGTTTTTGTAAAGCATTCCAAGCTGTCCCGATGTGGGTGACCCAGGCATAGTTTGAGAAACACTGATCTAGACGACCCCTCCTCCAGGTTACAGAGGGGAAGGGGAGACCCAGAAGGCTTGGGTGGCTTCGTGAGGATCGTACGCAATGATGGCCGGAACCCAAGTCCCACTCGTTTCCATGCCTGCCACCTCCCACACCCAGAACCCGCCCCAGGGCCCTGCGCCAGACTGTCAACTCCTCTCTGTCAGGGTCTCGCCAGCCCCGTCCCTCCCTCTCACTGCCATCACTGTAAACCAGAGGTGGAGACATGGAGCAGGTTTCCCTTCTGTCCTTTCCCCTCCGTCTCCCACCACACGTTATTCTTCCTAAAACACAGCGGTGCTCCCGTCCCCCTCCAGGAAAGACACCACGGGAGAGGCCTGCCTTCCTCCCCTGCTTGTTTGCCAATCCATCTTTGTGACCTGGGAGCCCACTTCTCCCATAAACACTTCTCCATGTGCTTGGTCAACAGCATTCCCTCCTTCTCTGAATCTTCCCCTCGTCTAAGGCCCAGGTGAAAGCCTTCCTGCCCTAGGAAGCCTTTGTTAACTGTCCAGCCCTAGCACTCTCCTCCTAGGGCAATCCCCCAGGAAGCCTTCCTTAACCGTCCAGCCCTAGCACTCTCCTCCTAGGGCAATTAGAGCACTGAGCCATTGATTTATCCTCTGCTATCATTACCTGCTACATTCTGCTTTGAATTGTGACCTCTAATTACCCACCCACTTAGCCATGTGCCTTGCACATAATAAAGGCTGGAGGGATGTTAGTAATAACGGAGCCTCAGTGCAAGGGGACCTTGGCCCCTAGGCAGCTGTTGATTGAGTAACTATGCCTCCCAGGCTGCTGAACATCCAAAGGCTAGGCTTTGCAAATCCGGGTCAGACCTTTCTCTGGACTGTGCTTCCATGGTAGTGATCAACTGCCCTGCCCACCACCATCCCCACAGCCGCTGCTTCCCCTGGCTTTAATGCTGGCCTCCTGGGCTTGCTCCCAATGCCTGCTGTGCCTCCTGCTGACCGTGATGGGCCTATCTGTGTGTCTTCTGTGACTGACTCTGTTCCTTCTAAGACATTCATATCCCTGTGCTTGCCAGAGAACCAGCGGGTCTGGCTTCCTGTTCCTACCCCAGCCCGTGACCAAATTTCCAATTCACTGCAACACTCCTGCTGAGCTGACTTCCGGCTCCTTATCTGGCCCTCTGCCAGAGGCGGCTAGCGCGCCCTCTAACGTGCACCCGACCCAGTCCCCCAGGAGTGGCACGCTGTGTCGCTCCTCTCTCCATTTAAGACAAGCATTTCCTTTTTCTTTTATTAAGAATTATTTTATTTAATTTTTAAAAATTATTTTATTTATTTTAAATATTTTAAATTATTTTATAAAATTTTCTATAGGGCATGTGTGCTCACCAGAGAGAGAGAAAGAGAGAGGGAAAGTGAGAAAGCAAGCCAGGTCCGGGACTTGAATCATGGTTGGCCATGTGGGAGTCCAATGCCTTCACCACCACACCACCTGCTGGCCCCAGGTAGTCCTCTTTCACCAAGGACTGACCGTCACCTCCTTGTCTAGCGCTTGCTTACAAACATGGCAACAAGAAGTTAATTCGAGACACACTGACAGCTTAAGTTCCGGGGCCTGAGCCAACCTTTCAGAAAGGAGCTCTTTATTCTTGATTCTTTGTTTATTGTAGGATAAATGTCCTGTGAGTGAGGAAGGCTCTCTCCTGCCCAGGGCCCTTGCCCTCTCGAGGTACCTGGAGGTCTGATAGAAATCCTGCAGGAAGCTGGAAACCTTTCCACAATCCTCAGTTCAAGTGCACGGAGCAGACACGCCTGACGGAGAAAGTGCAGACTACGACACGCGTGAGATTGTTCTCTGGGGGTGACTTCATCCCCTCTTTCAATAACATCCCCCCAAAATACCCTCCTGAGAGCACAAAGTTTTCAGGTTTCCATTAAATACAGCCATCTCCCCCCAAACAAGTATTTAAAATCTGTACTTACCCAAGTAGGTCCACTTGGATTCTGCAAGAACAAAACAAAGCAAGTGAGTACAGTGGAACTGAATGGATTAGGAGAACACTGCAGATTTTCTTTTGAAATGACTGAGATTGAAAAGAAAGTCCATGCCCAGAATCTATAAGTTTCTCTGAGCCAGCATCAGAACAAGAGTTTCTCAGAACAACTGTGCTCCAGATGGCCGTGCAGGGCAGTGGGTTCACGTGAGGCTCACGGACTCAGGAGGAGGCTTCTTGACTAGACCCCTTCCAGACACCTTAGTCAAGCTAATCTTTATTATCTGATAGGAAGTAACTTCACGTGGCTCACAAACCAAAAGCCAACAGGTACATACAGTGAAATCTCCTCCTCACTCCCTGTCTCCACCTGACGGTAGTAAGCCTTCGTAGAAGGGCCACACACATGTATTTATATCCCCTCCCCCTGTTCCCAGTCACATGTTGGCATACTATAAACACTGTCTTGCATTTTGCTTTTTTTTCACTTAGCAGATCCTGGAGAACAGTTCATGCCAGGGCACAAAGAGGAAAAAGGGCCCAGCCGCAGTGCTGTAAGCAGTAGACTCCAATTCATGTGGCTGGGGCCATACGGGGAACCTGGGTTTTGTTTCCAGACCAACCTGAACAGGCCAGGCACAGCGGGATATGTCGGTAATCCTAGCCAACTGGGAGACCCTGTCAAAATGCCTCTCTCGCTCTCTCCATCTTTCTCCCTCTCTCTCTTACTGCAACTTAAAAGAAGGGGGGAAAAATGGCTAGCCCATGGCCTGGTGGTCACCTGAGCTGGACCCCACATGGCCGACTGGGCAGTTTGAGTCTCAGACCTGGGGCTTGAGAAACGTGCTGGGCACATGTGTGTGCGCGCCCCAAATCCTGAACCGAGGGAGAAATGTTGGGTCATCAAAAAAGTCGTGATACATTTTTGCGTAGAAAAATATGTCATGACTTTTCCAGTGACCCAATACATGGAGGAGAAGGGACTGTAGTGGTGTTACTATTCTCACTTTCCCTCTCTCTGTCCTTTTCTCATTCTCTGTCTCTCTCCAGCATGCACACATACCCTCTGGCAAATTAAAGAGAAAAAAAAAAAAAAAAAAAAAAGAGGAGAAAACTAACCTGAAAAGGACAACATTTTTTCTTTGAGGGAACTGCCACCCTCATGTGAGTTGGAGTTCCGGGTGGCAGGGACGTGTAGGAGAAGTTCTGCCAGGAATACAATGGGAGTCACCTACCACCTCCCAGTCCACGTCCTTCATTCCTGCCTCTGACTCATTTCTTCGCCTGCATTTTTAGTTCATTTTAACTTTCAAATTTAATAGGCGATTTTTATCCAATTAAACTTGCACATAGTTTAACAAAAATATCAGTCCTCTGACACTTCCTAGTCATTTATCTGCTTCCTAGGGCAAGCACTTTGAACGCTTTGGTTTTATTTATTTGTTTCATGGTCAGAGAGACAGTGCCCCTTGGAACTTCCACGCTGTGACCCGCCCTCAGCCTCAGCCAGCCTGGATCATGGGCGCAGGTGCCTGGCACACTCAGAGAGGTCTCCAGCCTGAACCCAGAACCTTCCTGGCTGGGTCTCCCTCACAGAGTGTTGCATTTAACTACTGTGTTACCGTCAAGCCTCCCAAATGATTTTTAAATGATTCTTTTATTATTTCTATATCTCTATAAAATATGTTTAGATTGCTTCTTTTTGTTTATTTTCTTAGGTTTAGACATTAGTTTTGGACACCCACTTTGGAGGGAAGAATTTAGGTCTCTTGGGCCATGAAAGTCTACTGAAGTGAAGTGACCTGCCCAAATCCCATGCCTGGTAAGAAGATTCCACACTTGGCATTCTGTCTCATGAATGTAAGGAATCTTAGGGTCCCCTTCCTAATCTTTAGAGTAGCAGGCAGAGGAGCCCAGACCCCTCAGAGTGTCTGGTAAGTACTGTGGACCTTTCCCCCATAATCGTAGCCACATTTCATGTACCATCGATTTCAGAAGGCCCACAAATCCTCTGGGTACTGCCATGGATGCAAGGGGAGGTAAGTCTCAAGGTTAACCTCCTCTAAATCAGCAACTGGATGATGACATTCAGAACTAAGGGGAAGCCAGCTTTGTGTGTGACTGCCCCTCGAACGATGTAACTGAAACAATGATGAAGAGAAGCGAAGAAGCATCGCCTTAAAACCAAGCTAGGGAAGGAGTCAGACCCTTCTTCTAGACATTTCCCTTCAGCGTTGTTTGCAGGATTCATGTTACAACGCAGTCATGGGTTTCAGAGACACAGGAAGCCAGATGACTGCCACTGAGGTGGTTGGGTCATGCAGAGGCCGGGGATGCAAAATCTTACAAGTGACAGGGGAATTTGTCCTTGGTAGATCCTAGAGGCCACTAGAAAGACATTGCTTGCTTCTGAGCAGTTTTGCCTTGACCAGGACTTTTCACGGACCACAGCCTGACTATGCCCTCCCCCTCCCAGCCCCCTCCCCAAAGCTCACTGAGCTGAGCTGTCCCCCCATGTGGCTCTCCTCAGCTGGCGTCAGCATGCTACTCTGAAAGCTCAGGGACAAAGGCTGCAGAGTAGAGGTGGGACCTTAAGGCCTCAGGTGGTGACACAGCTCTGGGGACTTGTTAAAAGCTGTGGTGTCCAGAGCTAGCTGGTGCTGGACTCTCACATGGTCGGCCGTGATTCGAGTCCCAGACCTGGTGGCTTGCTTTCTCACTCCCCTACCACCCTGTCTCTGGTGAACACATGTATCTTATAGCAAATTAAAAATAATAATAACAATAAAATACAATAAAGAATTCTTTTAAAAAGAAAGCAAGCAAGCTGCAGCATCCAGAGAAACTTCCCTGCCCTCCTCCTTGGTCCCTGAGACTTGGTGCTTTGGGTAGAAATGGCAAGGTTTGCAGGGGCTCAGAATGGGAGGGCTGGGGAAACACAGGCGGGGAAATGAGGGTGAGAATGAGTCCAGAAGGGTCATCGGGTGAAAACCAGGGCCCTCCCTGGTTCTGCCTCAGCTCAGGCCCAACTCAGGAAGACGTGAGTGTGCGTGCACATGTATGTGCATGTGTGCACATGTGAGCGTGTTTGCTTTATTTGGAATTGGCTCCCACCTCTAGTTTCAGGGACAGGAGTCTCAATAGGATTAAATTGACCCCACAAGGCAGGCCAGGCCAGGCCTCAGAGGTTTCCTGAAAGAGCAGGTCCTTCTCCAAGGGCAATGGCTCCTTCCCAAAGAAGGCCACCAGTTCCGTCTGGGAGCCTTGGGAGGTTCCGCCGCAGGCCTGTCAGAACCTGCAGACCCAGCTGGCACTGGGCAGGGACAATGCCCTGAAGAGAATGCCCTGAGGAAATGGTATTTACCAAGATCCAGGTCAGGGGTTCAGGACCCTGCCTGCTTCCTGCCCAGGTCTAGAACCTTCCCTGAGTAACCATCACTTGGGCACAGCAGGTTCGTGCACAGCAGACTGCAGAGCCCACTGAAATGCCCCCTAGGATTGCCACCGATTTTTCCACAGAACATGTAACCTTACCTTACTATGCTCCCTCCCTCCCTCCCCACCCCAGACTGGAACATGTTTCTGGAACATGCATCAGAGCCAGCTGCTGGAAGTTTACTTGCTCCAGGCAGAGAGCAGACCACACAGCTCAGCTTGACCCTCCTCTGCTCCCAACCTGGGGTCCACACTGACATTCTGCGTCTCAGTGATTACACTTTGACCTTGTCCCCAGAGGCAGTTTGCTAGCCAAGAAAACTACAGGAGAAAGAACAGAATAAAACCTCTGTTCTTAGAATTAGCGGTAGGCTGGCCACTCAGTGTAAGGTGAGAGTGGAGTTTCTACTGCTTGCAGTAAAAACTTGGAGAATAGGAGAGGAAGGGGCCAGGGAGAGGGGTAGATGAGGTAGTGGGCTAGGATGGCCAAGGAGGAGGGGAGGATGCAGCTGGGGGAACGGGGAGGGCAGGGGGAGGGAGAAGGGAGGAGAGCTCCGAGGGAGGGGAGTAAGTAGCATGCTTTCAAGACCCACAGCCAGTGAATGGCTTTTCTCTCCTTTGTCTGGCAGCAGCTTGGGACAGAAAGGAGCTCTCTAGTGAATCTTTGGTCTCAGCACAGCTTTCTTGAGAAGGGAGTACATGTCCAAGTTTGCAGTTTTCAAAACTAACTTCCACTCAGTGTGGCTGCTTCTCCCATGTCTTTCTGCTTCTCCCTGACCCTGACCGGATGTTGGAGAGAACACCAAGCACATCAGTCCAGCCAGGCTGGCAGAATCTAGCGAGGAGCCATCCTGCAGGGACTCCCAGCCTGCCCCCCTCCCCAGAGCCCAGGGGCCTCCAGGAGCAGGGCTGGGAGCCCCCTACTGCTGAGCAGCATGATTCCCACCTTCACTGCTGGCCCCAGACAACCCCTTTCAGCCTTATCCTCTCCTTTCATCCTTCTGTCAATGTTTCTCGACCCAACCCCAGACCAGGAACTTCGGCACCCACAGACGTCTCTCCAAGTTGGGGTGAACGCTGTCAAGGGCAGCCCCCTTCTGTTACCCAGGGAGCTCTCACAGAAGTCACCATTCCTCCTCTCACCCCCCTACCCCCCAAAAAAGAGCTCACCCAAATGATAGGCAAACGTTTGGCATCCTTTTCTGGTTTGTTTCAAAAGATTAACTCGAAAGATGAATTCAGCCAGCCTTGGCTGTCCATGGTAATTCTCTGGCCTGACCTAAGCCCACTGTTCAGATCCCTTCCCCAACCTCAGCCCTGCCCACCACCGGTGGGGAGTGAGAGTGGTGAGTGACGGCTGCACCCTCAGGCTTCAGCCCTTTGGGGTTAAGGACTCTAATTACAATCAGAAACAAGGTGTGTGTGTGTACGTACACACACACACACACACACACACACACATGTACGTTCTGGAAAGTAGAGCCCTCTCAGGGAAAAACAGTGATTACGGCTGCGATGCACCATCCCTTTGACTTGGTGGGGAAAGTGAGTGGCACAGGGCCCCTGCCCTGGAGAGGAGCTCCCCTGCCGGAGGGCTCTGCCTGGGCAAGGCTCACTCTCCCCGGGCATCGCAGCCAGTCACCTCTCACTCTCTGAGTGTCAACCAGGGCCACGGCATTTGAAACCCTCCTTCACATTCTCCTCCCTGGTTAGTAAGTTCTCGAGCCACCTCTCAGACCTGGGGTGCTCAGACATCAGGACGCATTTGAACACCGAATCCCAGCCAAGCACTTCTACAAAGACAGCGTGTTTCCCGCTTCAACCCTGCGGAGTCGTGCAGCCCAAAGGAGCCCCAAAGCATCCTTCCTTCAACATGTGCGATTGGGTTCTACGCCCTCCCGGCTCCCCGGAATAGTTTGACTCTCTGGGGAAAGCCTCCCAGAAACCCTCTGCCAGGAGGGGCCGGGCGCTCAGGGCTGCTCAGAAAGAAGCAGCGGAAACTTTACCGTTGTGCGGGGCCGGGCGGCACGGCTGCTCCTTTAAGATCACCAGCAGGAGGACGGCGGCCGCGCGCAGGCAGCGCCGGGCCATCTCCGCCGCTCCGTCCCGCTCCCTCTCGCTCCCCGCGCAGCGCAGGCTCGGAGCCGGCGGGGCGCGCACCTGGACCGCGTGCACGCAGCCCGGGTGCCGAGGCGAGCACGTCTGCTCCTCGGGCTGCTGGCTCCCCGCGGGCTGCTTTTATGGAGCGACTCAACCCCAAACACATGAGGTCATCGTGCGCGGGGAAGAACGCCCTGCCTCCCGGAGGGCTGGCGCCCCAGTTCTGAGGTGAGTTGTGGCCCTGACTTGGCAGCGCTCTGGGGGTGGGGGGGCAGCGCGCCTCAGGGCCAGGGCCCACCTGGGAAGAACTGGGAACCTCTTTCTACCGGCGGGAGCTGCTACCAGGCGCGGGTGAGATCCGCGCGCCTCAGCACCCTCCCATTGGGAAGGGTGCGTCTAGGGATCACTTCAACAGCACTGCGTTCCGCCTAAGCAGAACCCTCCACTTATGGTAGGGCACCGCCGTCTTCAGGACCCCATGGCATGCCTGCCTGGACTGGGCACTGGTTCGGGACCGGAAAAGGCAGCTGAGCGACTACATGCACATTCAGATTTCTGCAGATTGTCTAGTGCTCCTGATTGGGTTCTTACCTTTGAAGCTTAGACACAGGTTGAGAATAGGAAATAGCACCTTCAGGTACACGTGAATAGCTTTACTAAGCGATTAGAATTTGCCCGAATAGCAGGTAAGTAGACGAGACTCGTGCTAGTTCATGTTAGTCCACCCTCTCTAGGAAGGCAGGGGAAAGGGTCCCTTCCCTGAGGTAGCAGCTATTTACTGAGCACCTACTACGTGCCAGGCTCTTGTGCTCAGAACACTATACCCCAAGTGTGGTACCTTGGCGTGCTGAGTACTGTGACCTGAGGTCTTTCTGACCTCCCATTCTCCTTTCTTTCACCCTCCTGCTCCCCTAAAACAGGTCGTCGGAAGCAGGATACCTCTTCTCCAAGGCAGGTCATAGAAACAAGAACTCCTCTCCCCCAAGCAAGCCATAAAACCACTCTCTCTTTTCCCTTCTCCCTTGGAAATCCTTACTCCAGAAGGATTCTGCCCCATGTCCAGAAAGAGGGAATGCAACACAGGCCAGAAAGAATCTGAAAGGCAGGCCTGGCGAGGTTCTCCCTCAGTCTGTTACGATTAGATTGCACCCTTTTGTCCAGTATTTTGACATGGCTGCTTCATTGCACCTATGGATGAAAATGGGCAGTTTTCCATTAACTGATGAATGAAAAAAAAATTGAGGTATACATATACAATGGAATATTATTCGACCATTAAAAAGGATTCAACCCCATCATTTGAGACAGTGTGGGTGAGCCCAGGGGAAGCTGTGCTAAGTGAAACAAGCCAGACACTGAATGACATGTTCCTCATGTTCTCACTCATCCGTGGAAGCTGGGAAACTGGGTGACATGGACGTGGGGAATGGAACGGTAGATACCAGAAGCTCGGTGGGAGGAGGAAAGGGGTACTGGGAAGTTAGCAGGTACAAAATTGTGCGTAGATATGTGGGATGAGCCCTAGGACCCCACAGCATAGTGGGGCAGCTGTAGCTAGTGACCATTCAATGTCTATTTCAAACAGCTAGAAGAATATTCTCTGTCTCTCTTTTTTTTTTTGGAGAGGTTTTTGCTAAAGGGCGCATGTGCTCGCCAGACAGACAGAGAGAGACAGAGAGATAGAAAGCGAGAAATCACCCCCCAGGGAGGATGGTCACGCTGCAATCCCTTCTCCTTCATTCTCCTCTCAGGATCTTGGGCATGCATGCACACGCTCGGCATGAGTTTAAGCCACCGGGTCTGGGATTCGAACCACAGTCGACTACGTGGGAGTCCAGCAACATAGCCATTACGCTAACTGCTGGTCCCTCAGCTAGAAGAATATTCACAGCATAAAGTACGACACATGTTTGATACGGCGGATGTGTTTATTGCCCTGTTTTGGTCCTTACACATTGTGTTCATGTAATGGAAAACACCATATCCCAGGAATATGGGCCGCTATTGCATGTCCATTAAAAGTCATGGTAAAAAGTGAAGCTTTAAAAATGAGCAGTTTCGTTGGGGACTTGGGGGTCTGTGATTCTGAAGGGTCCCTTGTCATGCAAAACTTGGCCGAAATATTCTCCGTGTGCCCTTCTCTTGTTAACCTTCTTTGTTACAGGAGCATCGGCCATGACCCTTACAACGGGTGAGGAGAGGTGTTGCACCTTCCCACTCCTGCACATGTGTGGTGGTGTGCATCTTGGCTGGATCAACACCCAGACTGTTTCCAGTGTGTTAGCATCACCTGCTGCTCATTTCTAACCCCTTCTCACAAGTCTGTGTCCCTTGAAATATGTGATTCTAGGGACCAGCAGTTGGCGTAATGGCTATATCGCTGGACTCCCATGTAGTCAACTGTGGTTTGAGTCCTGGACCCGGTGGCTTAAACTCACGCCAGGTGCATGTGTGTGTATGTGCCCAAGATCCCGAGAGGAGAATGGAGGAGAAGGGATTGCGGCGTGGCCATCCCCCTCCGGGGGGTAATTTCTCTCTTTCTGTCTCTCTCTTTCTCTCTGTCTTTCTGGCGAGTACACAGCCCTATAGCAAAAACCTCTCCAAAAGGAAGGAAGGAAGGAAGGAAGGAAGGAAGGAAGGAAGGAAGGAAGGAAGGAAAGAAAGAAGTGATTCTGACCCCCTCTGTATTGTTAAGTCAAAGGTCTTATACCCTCACCCACCCCCACACTACTCACTGTATCCTCCTGATGCTGTCACTGTCACTGCCACTGCTGTTCTCACCACTGACCTCACTTAGACTCTGGCTTCTCTGAACCCTTGGGGCATCTCTGAGCGGCTTCAGGTGCTGAGCGTGGTTCCTTCTTGGATTCAACCCTGCCCTTGCTGCCTGCACACATTGCTCGGACCACGTAGGCTCTGGGGTATGACCCCTGGGTCTGTGACCTGGCCCATCCTGCCCTCCTCCCTTGGCCACAGCAGCCAGACCTACCCTCACCCATCTCACACTCGTACTGGCTCAGCCTACATAGACTCACAGAATGGCCTTGGTGCCCAGTGAAGCCCCCTGTCCATGGCATGGTGGTTTGGGAGGGACTGAGCGGCTTCTCTGCTGGGAGTCTCCAAAAAGCAGATGTCGTCCACACTTCCAGGGACATTACTGTTCTGTCCCCATCTGCTCAGCTCTTGTGTGGGTCAACAGAGGACGGCGAGGTCTCTGCGGTTGTTGGTACACAGTCAGTCTTGTTACAAGCACTGCTGGCCCACAGTAGGGCTGACGCTGACCTTCTCTGCCTGAAGAGAGCCCTGAGTGAGCTGCAGCTGGCTGAAGGAGTGTTTCTCTCGTGGTTCTTAGGATGTGTCCCTGATTTGTTGCCAAGGGAGCTCTGTTTAGGAGATGAACTGGACTAGAGGAACGCAGAGCTTAGAGCGGAGCCCCAGCAGGCTCGGAGATGCAGGTACTAAACCGGTGAAGGTGAAACCACAGCCTCACAGGGCAGGAATCATGAGAGGTGAACGGGCATGCGCACACGTGCTGTTACTCCTGCCCAGGTGTCTTCCTGTGACGTCCGCTGCTCATTACATTCCATTTCTCCTCGCATCTGCCCCTCTGTGTTCCCAGGGATCCCCAGAGATAGGGAGGCTAAAAGGGGAAGGGTAGATTTAAGTAGACTGATAAGGCCAGGTTGTAATTTGGGTTTCATGGAAAGGGAGAGAGGGTTGGGATGTTTACTGTATGTCTATTCCGAAGCCTGGTTAATTAGTAAAGACTATGTAGCAATTAAAAGGGAACTGAGAATATAAACTGAAACCCAATTGCCCTAAGTCCTTTGGGTAAATTTATTATTTTTTTTTATAAGGAATTGGCTGTGGGGTGGGGGGTGGCTAACAGAAATGGATGGAATGACAAACTTTCAAAGTATTTGAGTGAACTGTCAGGGATTCCCTGCAGCCCACCCCAGCAGACTACATAAACCTACCCGACTTGAGCTTCCAAGTCTGGAAAAATCATTTCTCCGAATCCCATGGCTTGTGTGGACTTGCTTGGCCATCCTCAGATGGGGCTGGTGTCAGCCAATAAGTCACCCATTACTCAGCGAGTTAGGGTGTGAAGTGGACCTTCGGCACTCAAAATGTGGCAGCTGGTCACCAAATGACAAACGTAGACAGAGGCTCTGGGGAGCGGCGCCCCTCTAGAATGTAACCATCTGAACAGACACGAGGGCCGGGCCAGTGGATCCAAGGGCCGAGGACTGAGGCACGTGCCTCCCCACATACTCACTGCATGGACTTGAGAGTAGCGCGAGTCTGTGTCACCTGTGAAGTGCAGGGAGTCACCACAGCCCCTGACTTACAAAGAGGGTTGATAGCAGGCTGGAAGGAGATCAGGCTAGGGGAACCTGGTTCATTTACTCATCTGCTCGTTCTTCATTCAGTCGCCTTCTCTGTGCCGGGCGCCATCCTCGCTCTCGGGAGTGCACAAGCATAAACTGAGCAGTCTCATGCATGGCTGCAGAGTTACAATTGCAGTCAGGGCTGTGCAAGGGCCATGTGTGACCCAGAGGCCCACGCCGCCCTGAGGCAGTGGAGGAAGACCTCATCAGTGTTCAGATGAGATTCGGTGACTGCAAAGATAAAACCAGGCTCTCCTTTCCCAAAGCCGGTGCCCTTTGGTGGAATCTGCCCCTTACGTAAGCCTTTCAGGCATAAGGTGCGGAGAATTTTGTTTTTTAAGTTAAGAATGAGTTCTCCAAATAGTGCCACTGAATCGGGAATGCTCGTATGGCGCTAAAGAAAGGACCGTAGGAAGGAAAACTCACATTTATTGAGCACCCAGTGTTTGCCTGGCACTGTGCTTGGCATGCTCTTCTTACAACCACCTGTGGGCATGGCTTTAGGTTTGCCATTTTGCAGATAAGGGATCTAAGGCGTCGGGAAGTGAAATCCTTCCCTAGCACGAGTTCATGAAGGTTTTTTCTCTTTTCTTAGTTTTTGCTATAGGGCATATGTGCTCATGGGACACGGACAGAGAG